TAGTCTCATGCTGAATACATTGCAATATACACATCTACAAAGCCAGAATATTCTAAGGAAAAGAAGAGAGAAGGGAAATTGTGATACAAGTACACACAAGCCAAAATTTCAGTGCCAGACCTCAGACTGCAGAAATGATTAGGGGGCTTAGCTTTGCCTAATTCTTTAAGCAAAAAAAAAAAAACCTTTTATTACACTCCTTGGGCCACTGTGCATTCTTTCAAATACCAGTTTTCCTAATTTATATTGACTTACACCAGGCAACACAGAGCTTCCTTAAGTCCTAAGTTTCTTGTACACTTAGACAAACTGCAAAGCACAGAAACTCGTCATTGAAGTATGCATTTCACAAAAAGCAGAACTACCAATTTTTTTTAGGGACTCCTGCCCTTTGCTCTTAATTTTTCTATTAAAGTAATTCCAGCCCTTTCTATCCACCATGTCTTCTGAGCACTTGAGCAGGACTGAGACCGCACATGCAGGCTCCAGCATGCAGAGCTACCACACTTCAGCCTATCACATTCAAACACACTGTACGAAAGCTGAATTCTCCCCAGCTTTCCTTCAGGAGAGGCATTCATTTGAATCATCCCAATCTATTAATTCAGCAGTTTTCCCAATCCTTCCAGATTATTTCCTCTGAAGTCCTACTTGTCATTTAAAGCAGCCAACAGAGACATTTAAAATGACTGATAGAAAGGTATTAGAAAGGTAGACAGAATCAAGATTAAACAGAACAAATTTCCACAGGGAAATAGAGGAGAGAAAAAGGTGTTTTAAACAGTACAGTAGTTCCAAATACTTTATACACTCTGATTTTTTCAGCATTAAAAAAAAACAAAATGAGATCCTATACTCTGTTTTTCAGCAGCTTCTACACACAGCTGACATAGAAGAAACATGGATTTACTTTTCATGCAGAAAAGCTTTTATTCCCACTTTCATACAACTCAGTAAATTGCCCAGAGAGTGATTTATTCTCTGCTATGATCTCCTGAATATCTTCTACCCACACAAAAGATGGATGCTGGCAGGCAGAGCTGTCAGTAAGAATTTCAGCAGAATTAAATTGTTTAGTACTTAAAATACAGCACAATAGCTGTAATTTCATTTGAACTGTTGCCATTAATGAAACTACAAGCCAAGACCTAGGCGTTCATCACTGTGCAGCCACTGGGAATTTCTCTGTGCACACTTCATCACAGATGTAGGTAGCTCAGTCCTGGAAGTGTTACTATACCTGAAAGAATGACAAGCCAGGCCTGGCACTTTCTCTCAATAGTGAAAGACACAGGTGCATATCAACTGCTAAGGAGTTTCCCATCAGTATTTAACAGGTGTTTTCACAGCTATCCCGATCCTCTGCCAAAATGCAAACTAGGAATTTCAATGCATATGAGTTGAAAAATGTTTAAAAGGAGGCTAAAATATACATAATATACAGATGCAAAGATGTGTATATGTACACTGCACATTAATTGAGCAGGAAGCGTGTTTTTCTGGAGTGTGTTCTTCTGAAATATTACAGCTGCTACAAAATGAAGAGAAATTCAAATACATTAAATACTTGGCTAAAGATATCACATCAGTAGATAGTTGTTCATCACCTAGACTTTTGGTGAAGCACCTATTAAAATGCTTTAGTTTAAGTGCCATAATTAAAACAAACTACAGATTGTTCTCTCAGTCTAAGAAAATGCATACAACCTGAATTCTATTCTATGGCATTTATATATGCCCTGAATGGAAGCTCAGGACTAGCATATGTCCTTTAAAGGCAATGAAACATAGCAAATTTCATAAAAAGTGTTTTGAGTGTAACAGAGATGACTTTTGCTGAGGTACCCTTTCTACTCAGAAACTGCAGATTTGGCTGCCTCTGACAGATTAAACTAATTAACCACCCTTCAGGCATCCCCAAAGGTCTATATGGAAACTCAGACACTGAAGAGGTGAATAAGCCATTGGTTCTCTCCAGAGGAATTAGTTTTTATGTGCATATCTCTCATCACTGCTAATCAACCACGATACACATTCTTTCTGCCAAACTCCCCAAGATGTATGGGTAAACATCCACAAAGTTTGAAAAAATGCTATACACTTCACTTCCCTGTCCAGCCTACAGAAGGAGGGGAAAATCACATGCAGGACAGCCTGTATTACTGGCAGCTCAGAGGTCAGCTCATGACTGATCTGGTATATGATCTTGTATATATGTGTGTGTGTGTACATATATATATGGTATATATATGTTAGGGCTTCTGTGGGGAAAGAAGAGCAAATTGGGTAAGAGAAGCAGCTTGTAAAAAGAAAAGGTCTTTCCTTTTCCAATAATAGAGAGCATAGCAAGCAAAAAATAGAAGAATGGAGACGTGAGGCATCACAGAGAAAAGGACAAACACAAAGGCTGACAAAGGCCTCTCAAAAATGCAGTATTTTGTGCCTCCATTGGGTGATACATATAAGGATTAATACACTCAATTATTGAATCTACTTACATATTGCAGGAGCCACATGACAAAGATTGGAAGCAAACTCAGAGCAATCAGTCTCCATTAAAATTTATAGTATGTCACAGAAGATTTCTTGGATCTTCTTGAGAATATGAATAAATTGGTGCTTTCTATTTTAAGTGGGAAAAGCAAGTCATGTACACCATTATTATGGTGTATTGTATTGTTATTTCCTAAAATCAAAAGAAAGTCCATTTCACAGTTCTGGTCATGGCATGTGTCTGAATTCTGACTAAGATATGGATTGATTTCCATGCTCTCCCCTAAGGCCCATGCAGCATTTTGGATGAAGACAAAAGCCTGTCTACAACCTTATGTGTTAGCCTTAGTTACCTGGTACCAGTTGCACCATGAACACACTATGGTTAAATAAGTATTTCAGAGCAGAAGTACCAGCATCCCCTTTGGTTACTGTAACAATCCCTGCAATGTGAATAATGCCTGTAAACCCTTCTGGGAAAACTCATCTCTCATCTGCAGAAACCACTGGAGAGAATACAGTCCACAAGAGGAGGAGAGCACTTTTATTTCTTCCACAGTACTGACAGAAATTATTCGTGTTTCTCAACAATAACTACTAAAATTAAAACTTTCTTTTGTCTGACCACTTCTCTTCAATAGATCCCTGCCTCTTTGTCTGGTATCAATAATCCTAACCGATGATAGAGCTGTGCCTGTGCAAGCAAACCTTAGCAATTAAGGTCCAAATATCCATATTTTCAGAGCACAGACATTTTTCTATATTTCTGTAGGTGTTTTCTTTTAAATTATCTGCTTCTTCCAAGAGAAGCAGAGCACTATTTTCTTCTTATGTGTGTGCATTTAGTAGATCTTATCTAGTATTTCTTCAGCACAGTACCTAATAGGGAACAGAGGCGAGGTTACATTAGCCCAGCTATTTAAGTTTTAATGTCAGCACCTGAACTGCTCAGAACTGGACTGAGAAAATCTGTCTGCATAAACTGAAATAAACAGTTGAATGAAGGAGCTAGAGATGCTTTCCTAAATAATTTTGCCTCATTAGCAGAGGCATTGTGAAAGTTTCCACTCGGATCACAGCCCTAGGGCATGCCCATAGAGAAAAATCTAGAGGACATTCTACTATTATATCTCAAAAATTCAAACCAGGAGAAAGAGGATGTGCCTGGGAAAATTCGAAAGCGAGCACCTGAATGTTTCTGGCTGGTCTGAGACGGACTTTTCAAATCGCGCCGCACAGCGCCATCTTCAGGTGACCAAAAATTGGAATTTTTTTCCCTAGTCTGAGAAAAAAAGCTACAACCATATCAAAGATAATTTTCATACAAGAAAAACCTAGTAGTGTTAAGCTTTTAAAAAAAGCTATTTTAACTACAACTGAAGAAAAACATGAATTGCTTACACACCAAACAGTGAAATCTCAAGTATGCATTTCTTCTGTGCTTCGAAGGGGACCCTCAATGACAGGGTGCAGATACACTCTATGGAAGAGCATTTGAACGAGTTCTGGAATATAAAAATTGTTGATTTATATTGATGATTGGGCTAGCATGAGCCCAAAGACATACTCAGTGTGCCAAATAGACCATGAGCACCTCATAGCTCGAACTGAACCTCCACGGCAGTCCACACAAAAACACACAGACTAGGACTTCAAAAAATAACACATTCTAAAGTATTCTGCTGGTTTCCAGCTTGCTACACTAACAAATACCCTTAATAGCTTTTTGAATTTTTCCAACAAGAAGAAACCAGTCAATAGTTTGATTACTTCATTAAGCAATTAGCGTTCAATTAACTCTCCTTTCTTGAGTGGCTCAGTTAACAGGAGACAGGCTCGGTAGTTGGTAGTTTTCTAGGTTCGCATACAAATGTTTTTAAGTAGACCAGGAAAACAGAATAAAGGAATAAAGACGTGAAATATCAAAATTCTAGAAAAATGAACTGTGAATGCTTAGAAATAAAGGTTTTCTTTGCCGTGTGAATAAGAGTTATCACCAGTACACGTGAAAACTTTTCTTCCAATGCAGCAGAACTAGTACAATCAAAGCCAGTACTTCAAATCTACCTTTTTATGTACTTTTTTTACTACAACCAGCACCTTCAGGAGACAAGCGAAGACTCGTACCTATCGGTTTGGAAATTAACTGCTCCACGTGGAGCGCTAGATCCCTCTAGGTGCCGCAGCTTCGACAGCCGCCCACTCCGGGCTTTTGGTGCCCCGCAGAGGAGACTTTCCCTTCCGCGGCCGCTCGTCCCCCGGCTCCCCTCAGGATTTACGGGCTCAGGCACCGCCCCGCGGGCGGCGCGAGCGCAGCGGCTCCCTCGGGGCCGCGCGCTTCCCGCCGCCGCCGTTTGAACAGCCTCGTGACGTCATCGCGGGGCGGGCACGCCTGCGACGCCCTCCGCCGGGTCCCTGGCCCGGGGGGCAGGGGGCGGGCTGGCGCACGGAGGGTGGAGCGCGGGCGGCGCGCAGGCGCGGCGCGCGGATCGCGGAGCGGCGCTCCCATGAGCCGGCGCTGCCGCTCGGCCGCCGCCGCGCTGCTGCGGGGGCTCGCCGGCCCCGCCGCGCTGTGCCTGGGCAGCGCTATGAGCCTCTGCGGGGCGCCGGCCGCTTGCGCCGCGGGGCCTGCGGGCGGCGGCGGGGGGTTCTCCGCGGCGCGGCTGAGCCCGCCGTGGCTGCGGCTGCCCGAGGTGCCGGGCGCCGAGCCGCACCGCAGCAACGAGCTGCTGCTACTGCCGCCGCCGGCCCCGCGCGGCCCGGCCCCGTCGCCGCAGCACCACGTCGTGTACTTCCCGGGGGACGTGCAGGTACGGCGGGCGGCCGCAGGGCGGGAGGGGGGAAGCGGC